GGTGGCCGGGAGCGGCCACTGCACTCCAGTCTGGGCGACAGGGTGAGACTCCAACTCAAAAAAAAAAAAAAAATCTTCTGAACAAAGGATTGAACAACCCCCACCTGTGGGGGACTTCGGTGTACTTACAGGTTTTTAAGACTTCAATACTGTCAGTGCACTTACAGGATTTTTAAGGTTTCAATACTGTCAGAATATGAGCTGGCTATCCACTTGTCTTTATCCATGAATAATGCAGAAAGCATGAGAAATCATAAATTTAATCGTTGAGATAAAGTAGTCTAGTCATAGTCAAGTGGACAGAGTTACTGTCATACTCCCTTATACAAGTTTGAGAAAGAATCTGCATATTCATAATGACTTCCTGATCTGGAAAGCCCCAAATTTCTCTAGTATTAATAACTGAGTGAAAGCTTCAGATAGTATTTAAACCAAATAGAGATTTCATTGCATATATTCCCCCGTCCTGAAGAAGCAGTCATGTCCTGGTGGAAATAAATGCATCTATCAACATCTCCTGCCACTGTCACTCTATACACAGAAAAGGTGAGAAAAGTGGCCTGGCAGTTCACCTTGCTTCTCTCACATTTGAGTGTCATACAAGCAATATAGGTCTCTAATGACCCAATGTAAGTCTACTAGATAAGAAAGTTCTAATGTTGGAATTCTTTCAGCTATTGACATTTGTAGCTAAAAAATCATTTTATATATTTAATTTTTTTTTAGTTTGCATTCATGTATGTTGTACAAGTGTAATTTTGTTACATGGATATACTGCATAGTGAAGTCATTTTTAGTTTTTAGTGTATCCATACTCAAATAACGTATATTGCACCCATTTGAGTAATTACTGGTCTTCCACTCTACTCTCATCCCCCTCCCTTGCAGAAATGAAACTGCTCATTTTCCCTGACGAACAGAATCGAAAGTTAAGAACACTGATGGGAGGAGTCTTTGAACTGTTTCATAACTCCTTTCTCCCTGGGGCAATAGCACAGTATGAGATAAGTCAAGTTGTTAAGTAACTCTAATCAGGGCTTTTATTTATTTTTTACTTTTCTTTGGAAATTCTTCTTCTTCGTCTTCTTCTTCTTCGTCTTCTTCTTCTTCTCTTCTTCTTCTTCTTCTGCATCATCATCTCCTCCTCCTCTTCCTCCTCCTCCTCCTCCTCCTTCTTCTCCTCCTCCTCCATCATTTCAAGAGAACACAACATACTATAGCTCAGTTTCTGAGAGCTTTACTGATTTATCTCCATACTAAAACAAAAGAAACATTGATTCTTTTATTTCTGAAGGTCTCAGGATCTGGACTATTTTTGAAGAAATTTCCAGTGAGGTAAGTAATATTCTTGGTAGTTTTTCAGATAAGATCAGGATGCTTCCTTGAAACTCACAAGATCATAAGAGAAAAATCAGTACTTGTTCTTCTTGGTGGTGAGTGAGGGGAATGAAACTGGTGTCAAATGTATTCAGAAAAGTGAAAACTGTCATTGCTTGATTCTAACTCTTAATTTACTTCAAAGATAATAGACATATGTTATTCAACCACAACTGATGCCTGAGCAAAGGAAAATGCATTTTGGTTATTGCAGATTTACTACAAATTCTCTAAGTGTGACTTGACATAATTTGATATTTAAGGATGACTTGTGTTTCTTGGCTGACAGGAATATAAGTCCCTTGGTGGCTATGGTGGGGCCAGAGTAAAAGACAAGATAATGCCATGTAAAATTATCATGAATATTCAGTTAAAAAGAAACACATCTGGACATAAAGCTGTATTATATAGTATTATCTCAATTTTACAAAACGTAAGAACAAATACATATATAGAGTACAAAATTTCTCAGTTTCACAAGCACAAATATTCATATAAATGGTGTCTTCAATATTTTACTTTTGCTTTATTTCTATCATACACCAGGTGGTAGAAGTAGTATTTCAGGTATTTTGAAATTATTTTCTGTCCTCCTGAAAGTTAATATATTTTTTTTCTTCATAGATAAGGCACAAGACAGGAAAAAGGGAGTCAATTTTTAAATGATACCAATTGTTTAATTTTTTATATTTTTAAAGACATTCTGTATATCCTTTTACAATATTTCTTGTGTTCTTAAATAGCATTTTTTTATATTTGTACAAATTTTTTACCTAATGTTTATTTAGTAATTGAGAGATACATTGAGATCTCTTATCATAAAATTGTGTTTTTCCTTTGACTTCTCTCAAATTCATATATACATATGTATCAATGTATACTATGTATATATGTAATCATGTATATGTGTATACAAACATGAACAAACATATATAAATATGTATGTGTGTAGGGATGTGTGTATGTATATATGCAGATGGAGATACATATATAACATAATACCAATTTTAGTACCATGGACTATAAAGTAGTAGCAAATAACATATATTTATTATAAATAGAGAAATTCATAATTAAAAACTTCTTTAGGAGTTGAAACTTTTATTATTATGTGATATCTGAAATTACTTTTTTCAGGTCTATTTAAAGCTACACTAACTTAGGTAGATAAACTGACTTTCTTTTAGTTTTTTCAAGATAATAGTTTAAAATATTTTTACCTTTAAATGATCTTTAGTTAACACATGTATGTAGATTTTTAAAATTAAATTTGAGGATAGTTGTAGAGCTCTTCAGGTATACTGGTAATTAACTTATTTTGTTTTGTTTCTGCTATCTTCAGTTTGTAATGCTTCCATATTTTTCTCCTCGTCTTTCTTTTTTCAACTTATAACTCTATCTCACCCTCTAAAACAAATGTGGTAGTGAACTGCCATATTCTTTTTCCTTCCTCCCTCCACCATGTTAATATACTTTGTTTTTCTCTTATATTGTGTTTTTTTTTAAGACATAGGCACACCTGATCAAGTCCATTTTTCACTTTTATTTATCACTTGGCCTATAGTATTTTTTGATTTTTTAAAAAGTATTTTTATTGACTTTTACTTCCAATAGAGGTTTCTGCATGGTATGAGGCTTTGTCTTATGAAAATATTGAGTGCTTGTGTATCAGAGAGTTTTTGAGGCACTTCTGTTTAAATATCATTTTGCCGGCATGAAAACTCTAATCTCAAAATTATTTTTTCCTTCAAGACAAGATGAGATTATCTTTTTATACCTGTGGGGCTAAGCATGCTTTAAATTTCAGAATTTTGAGGCTTCAGAAAGGCTATTTAATGCAGGTATTCTAAATATGTTATCACCAGAAACTCCATGGGAATCTGAATCATTACTCCAAAATCAAAAGCATTACTATTTTACAGCAAAGCATATGAGTGTCCACATTTAAGTGAAATGAATAATCACACATAGCCTTTTGTTATCTCGCATCTGGTTTTATTTTGTATATTGAGTTGTAACACTCACAAAAGAAGTCAAAACATTCATTTGAAAATTTTTTTGGCTTAGCAATTGAAATGAGATTTTTGGATCAACATTACGCAAAAATTACTTCACTGTCCCATGGCAGACAGTTTTGCTGCTGAGAATCAGTTTCAATCCAATTCTTGAATCATTGTAGGTAATCTGTTATTCATTTCTGAAAGCTTAAGGAGCATTCATTTGCTTTTTGGTATTCTTCATTTTGACTATAAAGTGTCTTTGTGAGGATTCTCCCTTAATTCCACAGGCCTTTTCAATCTGAGGATACCATGGTCTCTCAAGAAGGAAACAATGAACAACCCCAGAAATTTAAACACCTTAACTATGCAAAAGGTGCACAAAGAAATGTTTCCAAAGCTAAAAATATTCACTTATTTAAACAGAAAATTGGAATTCTTATCATGTACTGAGCATCATCAAGGAAGTATAGAGGTGCTAAAGAGACCCAGAAGAGTGACACTGTTCATAAGAGACTCTAGAAGCTTCCAGAAGACAAAGCCTCAGTTGGTTTTTAAGGTTGTATGTGAGGTAGAGGGAGATATGTGGGAATGGCTTTCCAGGCAGTGAGAAGAGAATTACAAAGTCACAAAGCATGAAAATGCAAGATGTGTTGGATATTTTTGAAGCATAAGATAACAAGAAATACAAAAGTACTAGCAGTAGGGAAGATGTAGTTTAGTAAAGTCCTTATGAAACATTTTAATAAGCAATAAATTCTCTGAAAAGAAAAACAGGAACTACTAAAAGATTTCAGTGACTTAGAAACATGGCTTATACTACAGCTATACCACCCTGAACGTGCCCAATCTCATCTGATCTTGGAAGCTAAGCAGGATCAGGCCTGGTTATTATTTGGATGGGCAACATGGCTTATAGAGAGAAAAGTGGCTCTCTGAAAGGAACTACTTAGACATATAAGATCTAAAAGAAGAAAAATCAAGCAACAAAAGAAATAATTTCAGTCACTAAATGCTGCTATCCTACACTAGAAAGCACAAAGATAGTCAGCAAAGCGATAGTATTATGGGCGGGCACAGAGGTCACAGAAAGCAAAAAGGACATGGTTCAGCACCAAGGGAGACAGGATTTTGATGAGAGATGATTAGAGGAGAGCCAAGGGGACTATCAGTACCTCAGAATAAAACTGTATAATGCCACGTAGAAATGTATTGGAAATAAGCTAGAAAAATGCGGCTCATTTATACATGGGCCACTTCAGTCATAGAGGGCGTGGGAAGAGTCAGGAACTAACAGGCGGACATTGGGGAATAGACTGCAACCCCAGTAAAGGATGTCAAACCAGAGACTTTGACACTATGTAACCCATACTCTAAACATTTGATAATTGCCTGTTTATAGACCTTTCATCACACCTATCAGGACCAAACTCAACGATCCCCATGTTAAGCAGAAGGAATTTCCGAGATATTCCTAATGAAGTTGTTCTAGACTCCGTTTCCACACTGAAGGTGGCATAAAAAATCTGTAAAATTGTCTATATACATGTGTAACACTGTAAAATTGTCTATATACATGTGTAACACTATATGTCATTTTTCTCTTGTAGGCTCATACTTTTAGAGATGGAAAGTAAATGTAAAAGAATTGTTCTAACAAAAGGATTAGAGGAGTTGAGTTCCTATTATTTTAGAATGATTAAGTCCTTACTGAGTATGGATTTAAAACTGACTGAAAAAACGCGAGAAGAATATGACAGAATTAAGATTGCTGACTTAATGGAAGAAAAGTTCCGTGGTGATGCTGGTTTGGGCAAACTAATAAAAATTTGCCAAGATATACCAGCACTTGAACATATTGCTGAAATTCTTAAAAAAGAAAAGCTAAAAGGTAATTTGAAAGAGGGCATAAGCCCTCCCTGCCACTGTACCCTCGACTGTCCCCATCCTTGAATAGGATCCAACTTTGGTTATAGCTGATATATCCCTTTCTAAATTTGTGACTCAGTGTCAACAAGTTAACAACTTAGGGTATTCTATTTCTAATGCAGACTGGTGTGTTTTGGAGGGTGTATTTGGGATGGAGTGAAAGAACAAAAGCCAGAGGGAGTTGGTAGGAGACAGACTTTCCAAACATTAGAAAGATTAGATAATGACAAAATGAAATTATTTAAATTGCTGTTTTTACTGAATATATGTACGTTTAATCAATTAATGTACTGGTTCAGTTGATACTATTTAACTAACCATCATTCTTTGTAATAAAAAATCACAGTACTTGGCCAGGCACAGTGGCTCAAGCCTATAATCCCAGCACTTTGGGAGGCCAAGGTGAGAGGATTGCCTGAGTCCATGGGTTTGTGACCAGCCTGGACAACTTGGCGAGACCTCATCTCTACAATAAATCAAAAAAGTAGCCGGGTGCAGGTAGTGTGCCTATAGTTCTGGCTACTTGGACGGCTGAGGAGGAAGGGTCGCCTGAGACCAGCAGGTCGAGGCTGGGGTGGCCAAAAAAGAAAAAAAATCACAATTCTTAAATGTAAGCCTAGCTTTCAGAAGTGTGAAGACTTTCCCTATTGTAAAATCATTGAATTAAACACAAAAATTTTTTGAAAATCCCAAGTCCCAAATCACCATACCTCACAAACTTATATCACATTTCCTTCCACTGGTTTCTGTAATTTGAAGAGATTATCTGAAGAACATCATCAAGCGGTCAGTTCTGTGAAAAGCTTATATTTTTTTAAAGGAAATGATAAGAGAACAGGACTGGGAAAGGGTTGACTAAGGCATACGTGGGTCAGAGGACTGGAAGGATGTGCTCGGTGCACGGGGAGAAGTGAGGAAGGTTCTGAAGAGCTTGAGGCAGTGCCTGTGCCTGTGTTGCTACTGTTGACCTCCTGGTGACCAGGCTGAGTTAATGCAGCGGAGGCAGGCAAAACACAGCTGAACTCTCAGGCAGGAGCTGAGAGCAAACAACAGTGAAACGTCTTCAGCTGCCTGAGACCATCTCCTCAGGGTTTTATATGTCGTCTTTTTTTCTTCATTAGCTGTGAATAAAATTAAATGCATTCCAGCCAAAGAAGCAATCCCATCAAAGAAAAGGAAGCTGGAGGAAGTGAGTCCAGCTACACCTGAACCCACCATAAGCCACACTCTCACATCTAAAGAAGCAGAGGAGGCTCCTGGAGCTCAGGTAAGCTTGAGGAAGAAGAGCAGAATTCAAGTCCCAAAGAGCAATCTCTGCTATGGATCTTCCACTTCACCTCTCCATCAGGCACGTGTCTTCATTAGTTTCCCCTCAACTTTCAGATTTACCAAATTGCATGATAATTGATCCTCTTCTTTCTTCAAGGTAATGAGATGAACACTTTAATAAGTGTGATATAAATACATATGAAGTAAATATGATATCTTCATCTCCTATAAAAAAGAAAGCTAACTTAAAATCAGATAGAAGAATGCTTTGCTCATGTTCTCAAAAACCTACTTTTTATAATTCTAGGTCAGCACAGAGGCAATTATAGAAACAATGTGTATAAGTTTCTCTTTCTTTACTTAATGAAACCTTCTTGGCCAACCTCTAATAACTGGCCAGGAATGAGCAGTACCTTGTCAATTTGTCAAGAAACACATTGTTAGATATAATAAATTTACTACCAAGTAATGAAAATGTACTCTACTTCATTTGACACTGAAAATGAATAACAGAAACATCAAATTACTTGTACAAAAAGAAATACAACCAAAGAAAAGGTTGGAACTAAAAGGTGTAAGGTGTCCAAGGAGCAGACTCAGCCTCCCTGTCCTGCAGGAGCCGGCATGTCCACAGCCATGGGCCACTCCCCACCTCCCCAGACCTCACCCAGACTTCCACCCAACACTTCCTCAGCTGAAATACACTCTTCTTGGTCCCCTTTTGCTTCATTTTCTCCAACTCACAAAGAGGAATCTGACTTCACCTCTTATTTAAAAATGATAGCATAATAGTTAATTAAATATATGTACTGATGATTTACTGCATTTTAATCTTTTGCTTCCACAAGATACCTGATAAACATGACATTATCTGTGACTGCAGGAAGTTCTTTGTCCTGTGTTGTTCAGGGGAGAGAGAGAGGATGTAGAGTTCAGAACAGTGCAGATGGATACAGCAGTGGATCCACTGTCTACTCTCCTTTTCTTTTACACTTCTCCCTGATCTCTAATCTGTTGAAATTTCTTTTATACACACTATCCTGCTTTCTTCTTCAGGATTTTCACATACAGTATTTCTTTCATCTGGAAAACTCTGACCTGGGCCAACCCTCTCCACCCTCTGTGTCTCAACATCGATAATCTGTCCTCAGGGAATATCCTCTTAGAATCCTTATAACTTAAGTGAAATCTTCAAGGTTCTTTCTTTGATAAGAATGTCTTTCTTCCTTTTCTGCTGTTTAAGGCAACTGTGTTAACAAATGTTTATCTTTTCCTCCTTACTCTGAATTTCAAGATTAGAGCTACTTTGTCAATCTGTGGTCCACTCTAGCCCTAAGCCTACTTCCATGTCTGCCTTATAGGAGGCTCCTAATAAATACATTCATTGAATGAAAACCTGAAAACTAAGTCCTGAGATATGAATCAGCACAGCTAGGAAAAGAACAAATAAGGGTCATCTGACTAAACAAAGAGGTAATATCTGTTGTGAGACCAAAGATTGTAAAAACAAACAGAAAAATGATGAAGTAGAGTGGGAAGTGGAAGACTTTGGGAAAACCTAGGTAGAAAGAGGACCATACACTAAGACCTGGAAATGAAAGGAAGTGGACTGAAAATTCTAATTGCATGTTTCTGATAATATATGTGATGTACTCTTCTCAAGTTTGGCCAGGTGAGCCTTTGCTGTATGCATGCATCAGGGGTGGTCTAATAACTAATGGAACTCTAATGAGCTTAATTCCAAAAATGAGTGTTCTATATTCCTATGGCATACAATGAAGGGGTCTATGAGCAGACACAAGCAACAAGACCTCAACACCGGCCATAGTTGGAAAATGTTCTTTATCTTTTAGTTAGTACTAGATTTTTTATCTTAATGCAAGACTATTTAAGAAAAAAATAAAACTAAATGCTGACAACCAGCTAATCAAACTGAATATAATTAAATTTACCTAAATTTCAATATCCATTTAATGCCACAATTTTCCTTGTACACTTTTAGATTTCTTCCTATGTAAGTATATCCATAATTTTTCTGAAATTGGCATCATACAATGCATTATTCAATTATGCCTTTCTGAGTAGTTGTCAATTGTCCTTCATGTAGGTTCTACATGCATGTGGCTCCTAGTTGGGTACTTATCCCTGTTAATATTAATATTCTCATAAATGAGTTCAGTTCTACTATTACTTTCCTCTGTTAGGCTGAACTGGTCACACTGATGAGAAGTCAGACCAAATAAACTCCAGTAATCCATAGATGAGCACTTTATATTGAATCCCCTGTAAATCCACCCCAGAATTGGCTGGTGTGTGAATGAGGCCCCTCATGCCCCCAGCATTTTCCCTTATAGATTAAACAGCCTCCTCTCTATTGAAAGTGATCTGCTGCAATTGAAGGATACCGCATTAAGAAGATCTTCTTATAGAAGAAGATCGATAAAGAAAAAATGACTGATAACTCGGCCTCTCTTTGCATGCTACCTCCTAGAGCCATGACATTGAGAAATGCTGGTGTTGTGAGATTGACAGTCTCCAGAGTGTCTCTAACTCAAATCTACTGAGATGACAGCATTCTTAGGCATTCAAACCATATGTGTGCTCACTACTGTAAAGGAATGGACTCTTAGGTAGAAACACTGACTTATATTCCCCAAATCTCCCTGTCTAGAGTGGTGATAACTGAACACCCTTGATGTCTGTGGTTTGCAGTAGACATCACTTCCATTTTCAATGCATTCAATTTTATTTTGTCTATTTTTATACTGTGATACTTTAAAATAAAAAGTGTAAGACTTTCCATTATTTTATCCAAAATTTTATTTAAACCTGCTTCATGACAATATTCTTAGTAGTCACTGATTTTATGTTACTATTAAACTTTACTTCTTAAGATTATATTGTTTAGAAAATGACTTCCTTCTTTTCACACATATGGCTTCCTCTGTTACTTTCTCTTGCTATTACACCTGCCCAGGATCCTCTTTCCTGCTCTCACAAGCAATCTCTCTTTATCCTGGCCCCACACCTGATTATCTGTAAGGTTGCTGGGTCCCAATGCAATGGCTGAGATTACTGAGTAGTGGTTCTGTACTCAACAATAAATATTTTCCTTTGTTCTTCTCTATTATACACAGACTCAGAAATCACTGGCCAAATGTCAGGTAAATGCCAGAAGACATATTCTCCAACAGGGCCCAATGATAGTGGTGGTACTGAATGCAACAGAACTATTTGAATATGAAGCCTCAGAAAATGAGAGAAAACAAATGTTCCATGCTACAGTGGCTACCAAGACACAGTTATTCTATGTAAAAGTTTTAAACACCAAATTGAAAAGACAATTTACCCACAAAAAAGTCCTTATCATATCAAATTATTTTGAACATGGAAATCTCCTAGAGGTGAATGAAGACTCTTCTGTGTCTGAAGCTGGTTCTGACCAAAAGATTGATGTTCCAAACAACATCATCAAAAGAGAAAAGGAAACTTCAATGATTGATATTCTTTACAAGCAAGCTTCAGGAACTATTGCATATGGGTTATTTACACTATGTAAGGTAAGTCCTAAAAATTGTATTGTTTCATTTCTCCACCAACACCTGAAATTAAAAGTCTTCATATGCTAAATGAAACTTTGCCTACTAACTGAACATTAGAACCCAGGACGGTCTGAAGACTAATGATAGGGAATAAAGTCTTCCTTAGAGATGGGACTGGGAATAGGGAATTTATTAATGTTCTCTCTCTCATGTTTTCCTTGTCAAAATATCACTCTAAATTCTTTAGAAAACATTCAAAGACAAACCTTAAACTTCTTAAGTTATGATAACATATCCTAAGCCACAACAATTAAGGGAAATCTGGGATCAAAATCAATACACCATACTGATAAAATTCTATCTGTGATTATTACCTCAATTGTAGTAACAATCACTTCATTCTCATTTTGAATTAACTATTGGCCTTCGAGGCAAAGTTCTGGTTGTGATAATCAGAGAAATAATTGGATTGACTTTTCATGCCTGGAAAGCAATTGCAGCCAACAGTTAGTACAATGTTCTGACCAAATGAATCTTATACATCAAAAACCGAGAAATGTGAGTTAGAATTATAATTGAAACACCAACCAGTCTAAAATTGTAATTTAGATATGTAACAAAATAAAAAGCACAGAGTGGTTTTCCTGATGTGTCTCTTTCCAAATTCATAAAGATAGCATAAAACATTCAAACCCCCAAAACCATTGACTTCAGCTGTCAAAGTATGTCTTATATAACCAACATCTCACAACACATATATTTGCAATCCCTCATTTTACCTTCATTACTTTCTGTATACACTCTTAAAGAGATGGTTCTTATAAACACAGTTCTAGAGTGTATGCAATACATTTGGTGAACAAGAAACTGGAAAGTTTCAGCTTAAGCACCTGAGTATAGGAGAGGGCACAGAAACTGGAAGAGAGACTGAGAAATTGGGAAACGTAGGATACTTGGAAAGTCAAGTAATCTAAACTCATAATTTCTTTATGTAAAGAAAAGAGCACAAAAGTGTTTTTTTTCCCTACTGTGTCTCTGTCCAGATTTATAAAACCAGTTAGCATGAGACCTTCAAAATCATAAAACCATCTGTATCCTGCTATTGACTCAAGTAATTTCTTAGTGACCAGATTACAACTCATTATATTTGTTCATAAAACAACCTTATATGATCAGCATTACTTTTAATACACATTCTTAAAGAGATCGTTCTTATAAGCACAGTTCTAGAATTTATTAATAATATTCTTGATAAGCAAAAAACTGGAAAGTTTCACCTTAAGCACTTGAGTTCATGAGGGGACACAGATCTTGGAAAATCTGTGTATCTGTAAATGGAGAATATAAGAAAGAGATCAGGAAATGAAGAAGGTAAGAATATGGAGAAGGTAAGACAAATAATGAGAGTTACTGTAAACTTGCTTTTTATTACAGATTCTTCATAGCATACTCAAAGAATAGTGATAGCAGATGTCCATTCTTTTGCATAGAGGAAGAGACCAAAAATCCTACCAAGGATTTCAGATTTCTCTGTATCAAGTTGCTTTGGAAGCATAGCTGTCTGGCAAGTGAAAGTTGTAGAAAGTGAGGAGATAATTTATTGTTCTAGAACTGTCAGAGAAATGCTCAGGACACAAAAGACAAGGATAGTGGAAGGAGGGTTCTCTGAGAAGACCTGGCCTAAGGTACATGTATGTCTGTACAGTACTATGAGTTGATGTCCTGCATTATTTTAATCTGTCACATGAGATCTTTTAATATGTGTGGTTGTTACCATGTTCTCAGGAACAAGATATTAACTTTCTGTTGCAGAAAACAGTAAATAAGAAGGACACCATCTATGGAATTCAGGATGCAACAGGAAATATGGATGTAGTGGGAAGAGGAACATGCCACAACATCCCTTGTGAAGTAGGAGATCAGCTTAAACTCTTCTGCTTTCGACTACGAAAAAAGAACCAGATGTCAAAACTGATGTCTGAAATGCATAGTTTCATAGAGGTGAGAATTAGATAGAGAAATATTAGTTTTCCAAAGAGGAAAATTATTTGCTTTAGATTGGGGAAAAATTGAATTTTGGGGTTTATTTTCATACATAGGGTCTAGCCGAAGGCATTCGCAAACAAATAACGCCCTTGTACTCACATTTAAATAGAGAAATGTATTAAAACACATTAGAAGAATGACATTCATCATATGATTCAAAAGGATATAAAACTCGTACTACATGAAACAATATTTGAAGAAATTATGAGGTGAAAACTAATTTCACACAGTGGTCAAAAGCAAGCACTTCAGAATAGGATAGACTTGGTCTACATCTGGCTCATTGGTTGCCTGATACTGGGAAAATAGTCTGAATGTTCCTCATAAGATTGAAAATATGAAAAATAAATGAGATAATGAATATACATTTCTTATTCCATTGTCTTGTATATTATGATGAATCAATATGTAGTGGGTATTTTTTTTTTTTTTTTTAGCAAGGCAAAAAGCAGATATTGGAAAGACCTCTACCCTGAGTAAATGTCACATGCAAAAGTATAAAACAGCGTAGTGAGTTCTGTGCAACTTTGGTATATGTGGAAAAGTACTGGAAATTGATGCAAGAGAGGTAAAAAGCAGATTTACAATGAGCTGTCTTTTGTTATGAAGACAAAAATGAGAGCTTCATTGTAAAAACAATCAGTAAGTAAATATTGAAAGTTGTTATGCAGAAGAATCCCTGAACATTTTACATGTCAGCAAAAAAAATATTCTGATAAATTATCTGCAGGAATACATTAAAGAGAGGCAATGTTTGAGGGCAATGAGGTTTATTATAACTCAGTAACAAATAATTATATTCTCAGAAGTGAAAAGATGTTTTGCTTCCTTTACTTGAAAACCATTAAACAGAAAATTTAATATTTTCAGATAAAGAAAAAAACAAATCAGAGAAATAACCCCACTGACATAAAGCTATCCCAGGAAAAGAGTCAGCTTACAGCATATTCAGAAGCCTGCACAGCCCTAACTGGGAACCATCCCCAGCCTGCTCAGCTGCCACCAGTAACGCCATCCCAGGGTTTCTTCACTCAGGTACAATCTCCTGAGCCTAATTCCTTGATTCACCCTACCTTAAATTAAAAGCATGACTAGAATGTTAGAGAGCTTCCCCTTTAAGCACTAACTGTATACAATCTTCTTATGAAGTTACATCACTCATTAATTCACCAGATCACAGTTCTTTGTTATCTAAAATGTATGCATTCATGAAATGATGGCTGACCTTAATGTCTTGTGTTGGTGCAGCTGTTGAAAGGGGAGGGCGAAGTGACCACACAAGTAGAAATGAGGACAACTGTGTGTTCAGACATTACATTTCACTTTCTTTCACCTCTTTCCTTTGCTTGTTTTATAATGTTTCTATATTTGTTTTCAAATTTCCAACTTCCTTCCCACATCACCTACCTCTATATGCACTATTCCTTTGTTAGGAATCAGTTTTGCCCATCTTATCACCAGCAAAATCTCTTCAAATTTCAGGTGCCAGCTTAATTTCTTCCTCTGGCAAATCCTTGTTGACAAGATACAAGAAATAAGTCCTCCCATCCTGTCCTTTCTCAAGTCCTACTGTCAATAAGATTAAACAATCAATTTCACAGACATGAACAGAGGGGCTTATTTTACAAGGTGTCTCCCAGACCACCATAATTTGAGTTTTCCCTTAACAGGTTTAGCATAGCACATGATATATATGTGAACCACAGCAAATCTACAATCCCTGCGTAGAGCATGAAACAGAAATAAGAATTATAACCCAGCTTTTTCAATGCTTAACTAGGTGTTAGTTCTAAAATGTTGTTCCTTATATACATCATCTCATTCATTCTCCATAACAGTCAGGAGAATGCTATTCTCTGTCCCAATTCACATAAAAGAAAAATTAAGGTGTTCAGGATTAAAAATCTTCCTTAAATTTTCAAAGATGGTGTTAGAGTTTGGATTTATACTCAGCCTTATTGAAATCTAAAACCTGAGCAATTTATGATTATAGGTGGTTTTAGGTTAGGAACTGAGATATGCCAATATCAATAATTTCTAGAATAGCCTGTGCCATGTAATGGGTTTGTAAGCATAGCCCAGGCTCTGGAAATCTTCTCATAAGAATTGTGGTGGCCAGGAGTGATTAGAGCATGTTTTTATAAAAAGACCACGCTCCAGATATAAAATCTTCTCATCCTCCTCTCTAACAAAGAATGATTTTATAATAAGATATTTAAACACCAAAAGTGGTAAAAAAAAAAAAAAAAAAAACCTATGGAAATTAACCTAATATGAATGAATGGCAAATATGTTTCAAACAAAGTGGAAATAAAAGTAAATTATAGCACTTAAGGACTACATCCTTGCACTTGGTAAAAGATATTTTTTTAAAAATAACCTTACTGGCAATGTCCAGCTGGAGTCTTGAATATTCCTAAATATGATTGAGACCTCTGAAGGATTCTGGGTGACTGATGCAGACTACAAAACAGCAGAATTCTGCATCTGGAACTGCGGATTTGAAAGAATGCTTCTAGCACAGTGATGATCAAAACAACCAGAGGAACAAAGAGTTGAACTTCCTGGAGCATGAAGAACAGATGACAGGAGCCCATTTGTGTATTTGCTCGATGAGAAATGGTTAGTTTACAAACACTATCAGAGCAGTCAAATTTTTTCGAGACTCTCTTGCTTATGATGCAACAGGAATGTTCACCAAAATATGACCCAAAGATTTGTCCTCAAATAAATTATATTAAACCAGTTTTTAGCATAGGTAGAGCCAAACCAGTGAAATTTCAATCCTGCAAGTTTTGACATTTTTAGGGTGAAAGTTATATTGGTTTCTGTGTTTGCAGAAGGAAGGATAAGGGAATCTAAATGTATGCTTTCATTCCAGAGAAAATTGGCAAAGAAAGGATCCTGTAAGAAAGAATACAATTAAGTATATTTATACAATCTGTGTATGTGTGTGTGTGTGTATATATATAGAGAGAGAGAGCAAGAGAGAGAGGAGAGAGAGAGAGAGTATATATATTTAATTGTATCCTTTTTAACAGGATTTCTTGCCAATTTTCTCTGGAATAATATACTATAAATATATATAGCATATTTAATCGTATCCTTTTAATTAATTGTGTTTATATATTTTTATTGTATCCTTTTAAACATATCATGCTTCATCTCATACTGAAAACCATTAACCAGAAAAAAATATTTTATTTCCCTTCAGACAACCAAAGGCACAATCACAAACACTTGTGACTTCAAAGAGATAAAGCTATCCCCAGAGCAGAGTCTGCAACCTGTAGCAATCAACCCACTTCCATCTACGTTCCAGTTCATGTTTCTTCAGTCAAACCCACAAACCTCACCTGGCAGTTCCTTAATCAAGGTACTATCTTTCATCTTCTAGTTCTTGTGCTTCACAATAACCTAATGACGTGAATAATCAGATCTTGAAAGGCCATCTCATTGAATCCCTACTAACTGACATCTATTTGATTACATTTCTCATCATTAATCAAGTATATTCATTGAGATCCTACTAGATTCTTTGTCTTTTGCTATTTTCAAGGCTATGCTCATGTAATTATTCTTGACTCAAGAGGATTATTATTTTTGTTGGTCCAAGTGTGGAGAGAGATATGGGGAAATATCTAGATGAAGGAAGATGAATAGAAGAATGTGTTCATCATCTATGTTCCAGTTTCCTCGCACTCTTTCACTTTGTACTTGACCACACTTCAGGCTTTAGCTTAAGCAACCCATTGTCTTTTCCAAATCAAGAGCTTTGATGTGGACTGTTCCTTTGCTGATAACTTTCTCTGGTCTCTTCTCTATCCCAGCTCTCCTCAAGTGACAGCCCATATCCCTTCCCATGGATTTCAGAATAGATCAAATCTATTTCAGAATAGATCAGATCCTCCCACTGTTGGTTTGCTCAGGTTCTTTTTTTATGTGCTTTCCCAAATCTCTTTCCTTTTTCTTATAGCATTCAAACAAACGGGATGGAGGGGTGATTTTCTTCCTGTCTAGACCATAATTTCAGATGGTAGGCACTCTATACCAGGGAAATAGGAAACAAGGGTGAAAGTCTGTTCATGTTATGTGCATCAACCCTTATCCCAGTCTTTTCTCTGCCATATGACTCCTGAAGCCTCCTTCACTCAGGGATTAGAAGCCTTTATCTATGGTGAAAGAGCAGGAAAGTTGAAGGAAAAACAAGATAATTAAATCACTATTTTCTAGAATTATTTTTCATCGAAGCCTAGTGGCAGACACCTCCACCACCATATGTCTGCCACTAGGCTTAGATGAAAAATAATTATATAAAATAGTGATTTAATTATATATCTATATATATACCCTGGAAAACATATATGTCTGTATATATACATACCCTGGAAAGCAGGCTTTCTATATACAACGGTTCTCAATTTTGCATTTTGTTTTTGCTGTTGTAGTTTTTAGTTAGTTTTGCAAAACCACATCTCCCCCATAGTTATCTGATGAATGGAGCTATCAATCTCTGCCCTTTTGAAGTTTTGGCCCTAGCTCTTGCCCAGATTGCAATCTTAGATAGTTATTCTCTTTACCACATCAATGACTTAATTATACACCTACAGACGACTATGCTTCTCTCAGTCATATTTCTTTTTTATTGTTTTAATTTTTAAGATTTTTCTCATATTTCTTGAAAAGGAATATGAAACTCTCTAAATCTCATCTGCCAAAATATAGATCACTACCCTTGCTACCACTGCGTAAATGATTGTGCTATACATGAACTTCTCTGGAGCACAGGAATCCCAGGAGGATCTTATGTCTTCAAGGCCTCATACACTTAAACACACCATGCAGTCATTTATTCTTAGGTGTCCAGCTACCACCTGTAAAACCAGTGTCTGCCTAACTACCTTCCTGATGACTCACTACATGACCAGGAATGTCTTATTCCATGTATTGCAAGTTTTACAAAAGATTTTGACTATGATACAGGTCCTACATGCATAAGGATGAATAACCATAAGCAAACTACTTTTTGCCCTGATATCTTCTGTCATGTACCCTTCAAGCCAAAATCCTAAATTAACATGCATCAGGAGCAGGGAAAGTAGGTGAGATAATTGCTCTGAAAAAAATGTGTTAGTTAGTGGTTTAACTAAATATTGTATTATTCTCATTCAAATTCCTCTGTTGTGATGGGACTATTTTATTTAACTGAGTTTGAGAAGATAATACTTCAAGATGCTCTTGCCAATAAGTAGCAGAAGTGAATAGAGAAGATTGCTTAATAAAACCCTTTCCATACCACCTTGACCTAGAGTTTCCATCAACAAGGTAACCAGAGAGTTGAGACATCAGAGAATCAGAGCAGACATACAAATCCCTGCAGAGACGGTGTAATACAAAGACATAAATGATAGTTATATGTTTTAGGCATTTACAGGGTGCTAGTTCTGAAACCTGTGTTCTTTATAAATGGTATCACATTCCTTCTTTATAACACAGTCATGAAGATGTTATTCCCAGCCTAACTTTACATAAAAGACTGATATACATAGAGTTTTAAAATATTCCCCAGTTTGACAAAGATAGTGAGTGTGCAGAATATAAATTATGTTTTCCCATTTGTTCTTTTATACACTACCATGATGATGCTATTTTTAGTCACATTTCATATTTTCAAGCACTGAGGAGATTAGACTTAAAAATTTGACTTAAAATAACAACAGTTTTTGGTCTTAGAGCCAAGATTCAAATCCAGACTTATTGAACTCTAAAACTTTATTCATCTATTGCTCCAGAGTCAGAATGTAGGTGTTAACTTTTTTTTTTTGAGTTGGAGTCTCACTCTGTTGCCCAGACTGGAGTGCAGTGGTGTCCTCACGGCCACTGCAGCCTCCATCTTCTGGGCTCAGAGGATCCTTCCGCTTCAGCCTTCCAAGTAGCTGGAACTACAGGTGCGTGCCACCACACCTGGCTAATTTTTTGATTTATTGTAGAGATGAGGTCTCGCCAAGTTGCCTAGGCTGGCCTTGAACCCCTGA